TCGGCACTCGAGTTGAATCGCTACAAGCTAAGGAGCTTGCAGCGTTTGAAAGAGTCCATCCGGTAGCGCCTGGAGGGAGGAGGGTACACGCGGGTATTGCAGTTTTCGAGCGTCCGCTTCCGGTCGCGGGCCTATGAAGGGAACGTCGGCGCGGGGTCTCATTGTTAAAACGGGCGAGGCCCACATAGTCGGCGGCGTACGGATGCTGCGATGACGCAATTACCCACCGCGGGAAAATAATTAATAACAATTAATCTCTCGTGTATGGCAGCGGCCGGGCGCCACCGCCGCCGTTACCGTCCGCCCAGTAATTATGCCCGGATTATAAAGGTCGAGAGCCACCGCGCGCGAGCACTGAAGGGCTGTTCACTCGAACTGTTCACTTGGCATTTACACTTGCGAAACACCCCGCATCGCTCGAGGCCCCTACCTCGTTTCAGCAACCCACCCTCCACACATCCCTTTTCTCTCGCTCTCGCTCTCTTTCGTTCTTGTCATTTAACTCTTGCTGCTGCCACACTCGCATCAACCTCGCGCTGTTAGCCCACCTTTTGCACCGCGAGAACAATGAGGTGAACCACCCTCTTTGACCTCCCGTTGCATTCGTCGTCGAGAACCTTCCGGTCTTCGAACGGGGAACTTTTTTTGAAAATCGACTTCCTTCCTATGCGTCCTTTTTCGCGATTATTATTCGGGTTCTTATTCGCGTTTACTGACACATTGATATATTTTGAAATCTGTTACAATTTTAATCTTTCCCGTCCACATAATTTTGCGCAAATATTAGAAATTTAATATATCAGTAATTATATACAGACATATGTAGAGCGGTATATATATATATATGTATTCGTGTCGCGAATTGCACGCAAAATCTTCAACACAATAACACGTGACGAATCATTATTCTTTTACGCGACGGAGGGATAATTTCCTAAATGTCGGCGAAATAATACAAGGGAATAATTTCCTGCAGCTTGGAAACGGGGTCGACATCGGGGGCGACAAATCCGGAATACAACGGAGAACGATAAAGCGACGAAGGCCGCGCCAAGTTTTAACAACTCTTCTCTTGAAATTATCATATGCTAATAAAAGCATAATTACGCATTATTACCACCGACAACATTCATGAGGGTCTACGTCGCTTGGAACGCGAATGACAACCCGAGCTGTGCTGTCGCGCGACTTCCGGTGCTACTTACGACGTTTCCGTCTGGCGCGTGCGCTTCTAATTAAAAAAAAAAAAAAAAAAAAAAAAGTCGTTACCCGACTCGCTCGAAATTAATTATCCGCGGAGGCAGTAAACATTATCGCGGAATGTATCGAGCCGATCGTAAACAGCACCGACACACGTTTCGCGGTTACATTAATCCTTGCCAAATATGCCACCTCGCACTCTCATCTCCACACCCCTTTCGCCCTCTATATTCCCTCTACGTTCCATCTCGCTCTCCCACGGTTGTCGTAACCCTTCTCGCGCACCGCTCTATATGCATGCCGGATCTGGAAGACCGAGCACACATTTGCGGCTCGTAATGATTATTATACGCATGTAACTCGCGTCCGCCACCTTTAACCCCGTCGTCGACGCCGTCGTCGTCGTCGTCGTCGTCGTCGTCGTCGTCGTCGTCGTCGTCGTCGTCGTCGTTGTCGTTGTCGTTGTTGTCGGATATTACCATTTGGATCCACGAGCGCGCGCGTTAATTTCACGTGACAAAAACACACGACGCGGATTCGCCGATGCTGAAAACACCGTTCCCTCGTTAAACGCTTTTGGACGCATTTAGTAATTTTGGCTCATTGTAATTATGCTCTGCTTACCACTCCCATATTCAACCGCGCGTACGCCGAGCAACTTAAAATCAAGTTGTATCAGACATTGTGTGTATGCGTATAGTATTTTTTTTACGAAACATGTATCGATATTATTTTGTTCATTTTTTTATTTTTGCAAAAAAACTAAGTTTCAAAAAAATTAAGTTTTTTGAAAAATTCAATTTTGCAGAGACGTCGAGATGGTTTTGGAATCGATATTTCGTATAGTTGCCGCGCAAATAAATCTTAACTTTTCTTCGCGCTCGTCCACGATGTGTCGCGGATGGTGATGTATAGGACTCATTCCGATCGTTGTTCCGTAAATCTTCATGACGGGACGTCCTCGATAATAAAGAATGCCGGGCGATTCTCTTCCGGGCGCGCTAAGGGAGTTGCAAGTGACTTATTTATCCAGATAAATAATAGGAAATAAAAACGAGCGTTGCCTCGGGGCGGGATGAGGCAACGTAGAAGATCCGTGCCTCCGTAACAAATGCCCGGCACTCGATCTAAATTGGGTTACCTTACGGATAGTAGTGCCCTTTCCCTCTCCCCCTTTTCTCTCCCGGAGGGAGAGCTCAAGCTTTTCTCTTCCTTGTCGTTTCTTCATTGGACCTTCCGACGGCCATCCCTCCCGCGAAAGCTTGGATATCTTTCGTGAGAGATCCAAGTCAGGACAACGGCCATATTGCTGGCTTTCTTTTTTCCGTGGAAGCGAAGTGAGACATCTCAGGGGGTGGTTGGATAGATTTTTCTTGGCGGACTTAATCTAATCCTCTGGTATAAAGCGACGATTGAGAAGGTTCGCTTCGCGTTCTCCCACTCCACCGGTATCCCGGTCGATACGTTTGTCATCCACGAACGTGGTGTTCGGGTGACGATTCTGCAAATGATTAATGACATCTAAAGAGCATTTTTCGCAATTCAGTTTTTTCTTCATTCTTCCGCGAAGAATATTATATTTACACGCAAAATCAATCTACGTTTATCTGTAGTTTCGATGACTTGCTTTTATTTTGGAAATGATCGAAAATAAATTTAAGATGACACACACGATCAAAGGTCGACACCGCAATATTCTTCGCTCGGGTACGCCCGAGCCATTTCTTTCGCCTCGATCGAAGGCTAGTTTCGTGGAAAACAGAATCCTCATTGCGGATCTCCCGTAAGAAAACTGCATTATAATTCCAGTCACCTGCCGGCTGCTAACGATCCTCGACTAGCGTCGGGGAGAAGAGAACGCTTCTTTCTCCGTCTCTCTTTCTGTGTCGGTCTCGCTTCTCGCCGCCCACGTCCTCATTTCTCCCGACTTCTTAGCCAATACCCCACAATTAGCTTATCCTGTTAAACTCCGACCTCTCTTGCTTCGTTGAATTCGTTAAAATTAACCTTTCTGGCAGGCACCTGGTTCGACGTAAACCGCAACGGCGTCCCGGTCTAGTCCCGGCTTTAGCTCTCTCGTCGGGGAAAGAGTGCTAATGACGGTAGGACCGATTAAATACACTAAAATAAAGAGAACGATCTCAGAAAGAAAAGCTTTCTGCTTGAAAAATCGTTAGACACTACATTTGTCGGACTTTGTAAAAAATATAACGATCGGAAAACATCAGCAAATGTTTTTACAAAAAAATCTTTGCAACATTCGCACATATAATATTGACATATTTATCTCAATTGTTTTTTTATCTTCTATTATAGTTTGTTTTATTTTTTATCTGGCAAGAGAACGCAAAGATTGCCTGCAATTTCCCTGATGTTAGATTAGACAAAAAGGTCAACGTGGATTTTTTTCAACAAACAATTGAAATGCGTGAAAATGCGTAAATAGCGATCGAGACAGATATTATTTCAACGCGCGAGTCACAATTCAAGGAGAGAGACGACGAAGTGTCTCGACTGGAAAACGTTTCTATAGACGTACGAGTTACTCGCGCTTCACGTGTGTGTTGGTTCGCACACGTAAGTGTCGTCGCTTTCCACGGTGATCCGTGGCAATGGCTCACCAAATCCCTACAGAGCCACGTAGGTAGCGTTGGCCCCCCGGTATACGAACCCATTATCAAAATGGGCTCGTTTCTTACTCGAGCTTGTCTTCATCCTCTTATTGGAATTTCTTTCATCCCCGCAGTTATTTTCGTTCGCTCGTTCGTTCATTCATTCGTTTCCGCTACCCCTAATGCCACGAATCACTGATAAATTGGATACGTTCATGCGAACCGTGACTTTTGTTAATGGCAAGTGATAATGATTCTCTCATCTCTTCCAATATCCACCAAAATGTTTAAACGAGAAGATAACCATTAACTACATAACATCTTTGTTTTCTTAAACGTTTTCAAGCCAAAAATATATTATTACACCTAGGAACTATGATTTTAATTTTAAGTAAACGTTTTTTTTTTTTATAAAGCGGATATAACAATTATCGTAGGATTGTGTACTGAAGATTGTGAACAATAATATTTTTATAAATATTTTACGCATACGCTGCGCGAGTTTTTGTAATTAATATAAGTCGGAGAGACGATTGTTTAACGCATCTAGCGATCGTAGGTATAGCTCGAGAAATAATGAATTATCGTAACCATAAGACATCGGTCAGCTCCCCTTATAAGACATTCCAACCTTGTTCCGGGAATCCCACGGGAATCCCGGCTGCCCTTTGTCGTATAGTGGACCCTCTCTCGACCTAGGTCGACATCGACAGACCCGGATGTCTCCGTGCCCACCCTCTCTTACTTTTGCTACCTTTCTATATGTTTGCCGCTCGAAGGATAATACGATCAAAGCTCCCCTTGTGTATAAATTTCCTTGTGTATATATGTGCGGCACGTTCGCGCGAGTGAAATCATCTGGTAACACGATTCGCAAAAATGCCATTGTGTGTGCTCTTAAAATTATCGCTGCGAAAGCAATTTAGTGAGCAAGAAAATGTCAATTTCTGGTATATGTTTGTGACAAAATAATTTGAATCGCGTATGATAGATTTTTTATTGCTTATCGACGGAACGAATCGTTGAATGACAAAATACGCGTTTGTTCAAAAATTGACAAATATTACGTACATATGTTCAGTCACACATTGTGTGATCGTATGTAAAAGAAAAAGAAAAAAAAACAAATACTGTCACTGCGAAAATTTCCTAGAACGTGTCGTTTTAAAGTTACTTGTGTTTCAACAGAGAGAACACGGAGAGGTGCCGTCAATTACACGGCATTTGAGGAGATATAGCCACTCGCTGGCCACTACACGACCAATCGAGGGTCGTTTCTACCACGAACTCCTGAATAGCCTTCGAACCGTAACCCTCGTGACCCCAACCCCATCGTTCCGGATGCAACAGGTGATATCCTTTCTCGATATCAGACCCATATGCCGTGCTGCAACGTATCTCCGATAGCTCTCGCTATAGGAGGATTAATCGTTGCTTTGTGCGTATTCAATAGTGTGTTCAGGCGCATTTACTTCTTTGTGGATTTTAAAAATGAATAGAGACTCACACACCCGCTAAGTATTGCTCTCTGCCCGCGTATAATAATGTTCAATTTAAAAGATCTATTTCAAAAGTATATTGCATAACATTTTATTGTGAATTTCGTAATATTTGCTCGAAATTTTAACGTGAAATAAAATGTGAATATCGTTTGGCATTTTGGTCGGGATCGCTACGACGGCATTTCGAAGTAATATCGGTGCTTTGGCAGTGATTTATGCCACCGGCGACCGACGAGTCGTTTTTCCGAAGTCTGTTTCCGATACCGGAGGTCATTAATATTTTAATGCGTCTGTCATTCGTTCAACAGCGAAGGAGGAGGAAAACGCGGTGGGGGTTGCTTCTAGCGAAATTGAGGTCTCAATAATTACGTCAGTTGCAGACGCGCCCTGCTTTTGATTCATAGCACAACAGAACTGCGAAACCGGTAGGGCGGTCGGTCTCTCTTTAGGATAATCGGAATTCAATTAAACTATTAGCATCAGGCTTTCTCTGCCCTGGGAATGAGAGGGTGGAACCGCGTGTAACGGTAAGGGATTTAATGCCACGGAAGATCGAAACTATATACCGAGAAACGCCGTTCGGAGAAATAACATTCTCTTTTGAACGAACGTGAGCTCTGCTAATTGAATATTAAACGTTTATTAATTTTTATTCGGATACAATATCTCGTTAATTCAGCGTAGAAGAAGAAAAGAATCGAATACATTAATATTTCGTAACAAAACAATTTTTCACGTACCGCTGCAACCTTCGTTACGGTTGATGTGAGGATTGAGCGATAGCCACTCCCTCGATTTCTTCGATTCGTCAAATGACGGTCGTGAATCCAGGAGCTTTTTGAAGTAAAAAAGAAGGGAATGAGAGAGATCGCTTAAGTACAATATGATGCGGGAGAGAAGGAGAATATTTTTCTCCACGCGCGAGTGTATGTGCGTGCGCGTTTATACACGTCTCTCGGTGGATTTTCGCAGCGAGGCGATGAAGCGGGGAGCGGGAATAAGGTTCAGGACAACTGGGAACATCAATATACGGGGCACGAAATTCCAGCGACGATGCAGATAAAGAGAGGAAAGGCAAGAAATCGCCGAGGGTGTATGTCAGCCGAGCACTATACGTCATACGTAATGTCGGATCCGATTCTCATATTATACCCTTATATACGTGGATAGATAGATTTATGTCGCGTGTGACGAGAGAGCGGCAACGAAACTCAGGCATTCAGCTCAGGCGTTCGTAACGCGCGATTGCAGAGAGAGAGAGAGAGAGAGAAGTTGGGATAAAAATCGACACAGAGCTACACTTTCTCGCATCTCTCCGTACGTTTTCGTTTTTAAGAGGTATACGAGGCAAGAGTGTCTCTGGCGAAGAAATAACGACGGCTGATTTGAATTTTACGGCAGTCCTGAAATCGGGGGATGTCGAAGCATAAAGAGAGAGAGAGAGAGAGAGAGAGAGAGAGAGAGAGAGAGAAGACGATTTAAATTATAGTACCTATCTGTACATAATTTATGCCCTTGTTTTCCGGCAACGTCGCTTATATCGCGTCTACTTTGGGCGCGAGAGAAACGCGTCTCGCGGAAAATCGACGGCTGCGTTAGGAAAAGATGAGGGAATGACGCAATTTAAATTATCCTGAATAATTCTCGTAATATCCGATCTTTATGGCTCGGAAAATGCGACCGTCTTTCCGTAGCCTATAACGACACGATTTCCGCCACCGGATAATGGCCTTCTTAATGCTCCTCCAATCTACCATTCGGCAAGAAATTTTACAAACGACGTTCGAATTTAGTCGCTCCTTGCTCTCTTCGGGATCTATAATATCATCTCTCTCGTATCTTTCGCAAATAGCTTTAATCTTAATCGTCGTATCAATCACAAATAACCAATTTAAATAAAATTGCTACACTCTCTCTTTCTCTCTATTTGTGTTCATTTTATAGTAAAAACAATTTTTAACTGGAAAATCGACTCCTTCGAGTCAGTTGGCAAAAAAACGCAGAATGTGTTTCATCATGTATAGCATGCGATCGCTCAGAACTGTAATAAAAACGTCTTCGAGCAGAGACGATAGAACCGATGGGGAGGGAAAAGTCCGCCACGGGGAGTGGTTCGCTATGGTGTGGTCGAAGGTTATATATCTTTGATTAACGACCGCGACACCATTTATATATATATATGTGTACGTATATATATATATATATAAATACCGTAGAGGCTACGGTACCGATCGAGCCCTCAGACGCACTCGGTAGCATCCCGCTAACAATAAGAAATATCGCGATGGGTAATTTATTATCGATGGCAAAAAGCATCAGTCGGCGCATCCGACGGGACGCGGGGCGTCGTCGCCACCACCGCCGCCGCCGAACGAACGAACGAACGAATGAACAGTTAGTTTGGCCAGCCACGGTGTTACGAATTGCTCCTATTTATTACGAATGTGACGATCTTGCTCCCGTCGTCGGTGTATTTCCGTTGCTAATCTCGCGTCCCGAGACCAAGAAAGGCCGGCGTCGTCGATGAGCAATCGTTGCGATTTTCATAATCGACCGCCCCGTCGTTGTTCCGATATCGAATTCTCGCGGCAATGTTTCTTTCACGACGGAAGAACCGATCGGGGGGAAGAACATTGAAGGGGAGCGACACGTTCCCTCCGGATGATTCTAGTTAGCAATTTCTCCTGACGGTATTTTTGCGACGGCGCATAAGCAAATTGCGAAGTATGATAATGCTCCTTCGCAATCCGACGTAGTATTTCAACGACGTTTCTCCGACTGCTCGGTCATTTGTTTCCCCGGGGCTTTACTCCATTTCACGGCGACCTGACGAATGGGAATATTCGCTACCTCCTATGATTGCTTCTCAAGTGAGCGATTTTCACGCCGTGGCGAAATATTGAGGCAATATAAGTGTTGCGAAAAATACGAGAGTTATCTAGAAGAAGAAAAGAAAATTTCTTCAATATTTTTTTATATATTTAATACACGTTAAGAATTTTTTTTTATGACATTGAAGAACATCAAGACTTTTGTTGCGCGAGGAACGACATATCGTTATCAATTTTTATCTCAGAAACTCAAGAAGGGGCGGAGATAATAGTGAGATTAATTTAAAAAAAAAAAAAAAAGAAGCGCGCGAGAGAGAAATCTGGTAGTGTACGCTTCGCACAATACGGTATCCAGAAAAGGCGCTCTTCCCGGGAGCGACGTGCTTAGTCGTACAGCTCGGAATTTCACAGAGAGACAGACTGGAAGGCTAGGGGAAACCCCTTATACGGTCGCGCGCATACGTATCGCCGAGAATTTATATTTTAAATCGACTCGCATTAGGAGCGCGCGTTTAGTCGCGGTAAGGCCGCATTCCCCCGTCAGGGGAAGACCCGGGCGAAAGCACGTGCTACGTGGCTTTTCCACACGTCGTATCAAACGCGCGTAATAACGTAACAAATGACCACTTTACGTGGCGACTACCGCGGGGACATTCTTGCGCTGGCGGACATTACGTTTAACGTTTGACGTCGGTCTCTTTAACCCCGCGACAGCAGCCTCCTCTTCTCTTTCTCCTTCGTCGTCTTTCTCATTGTCGTGTCCCGAGCCTCTTTCCAAGACCGTGTGCGTGCGATGGGCGCGACAACCTGTTTAGTCATCGACGACATCCGCGAAGACACGCGGACATCGGTGTGAAGTTGTACGGGATCTCGTAAAATCTCGACAGACCGCTTGAAGCGGATAGAACGCTATATGTGATCGAGAAATAGATGTGGACAAGAATTTTTTTAACTTTCGTATCAATTTGAAAATTTTTCATTCGAAATTCAAGTCGTCGCGGTCGTAGATGACAAGATGGTTGCGTCTGATCCTGAAAGTTCGGATTTTTAGACGCGTGTATACATCACGCGCTTTTAAAATAAATCCCCGGACGCACACGAAAATACTTCGGAAAGTTACCTGTTACATGCGAGCTGAAAATTAAACCGAGGGACGTCCGTGTTCAGGATGCGCACGTGTCCGCTCGTAAATGCGCGCGCGGAACTCACGAGATATTTTACAATTACTGCGAAATCCATTAAGGCGAACCGAAATAGCGGGGGCTGCATGTATTGTACATATACGCGTAAGAGCGCGCAGACGGAAATTCACGAAACGACGAGAAGTTCTTGCGGAGTTATACGGTCTTCTCGTTGTCCTCGCGGTGAACTAAGTCACGTCGCGGACTAGTTGAGAAAACACGCCCCGTAGAACGTGCGCGATATTTATGTTCGCTCGTTCGCTTCGTCTAGATATTTTGTTCGAGTATTATTTTGCGCCGTACAATCCAATAAAGATTTCGGCCAAAAATTACGAAGTCATTTGCTTTAAAAAATTCTTAAATAATTTACACATGGAAGTATTATCTCAACATATTAATAAAACGTGTACAATGTATTGATAAAAGTAAAAAGATTCGATCAAATTCGAAACAAAATTGTCTTCAAGTAGCGCGCGCATAGATCAACGTATTATCGGATACCGAAAGAAATATCGTCGAAGATACGTAATTTTTCTTTTTTTTTTTTTTTTTATATCTATACGTAAGCACGAATCGAGACATCTCTTTCTCTGTGCGTCAGAAACGAGAGAAAGCCCAGCGCTTGATAATAAGATCCAGCCGCATAGTACGCAGAACGTCGTGCTGCGAGGGGTCCTAAGATACGACACCTCGCGCTGCGGTTTTAACTCCTGGTTATATCCCGCGGCTAGGAGATTGCTAGATTCAAGCAAGCCCCCGTATTCGTGCGCAAACACAACCGCGCGACGCGTTCATATATCGGCGCGGTCTCTCTTCCCGCATCGAGCTCTTTCTCA